GTGCAGGAGGCTGATCAATGTTTCTCTCTCATCGATGTTTCTAACTCTCTATCTCTCTCCCCTCCTCTCTGTAAAAAATCAATAAAATATATTTAAAAAAATTATCCAAACTTAATTTTCTACCTGATAGCTGTGTGAGCACCAAAGTGAAGCCAGAAGGGAGGCCTCTGGGCCTCAGTTTTCCTAGCCATTAAATGAGCAGGTTAGATTAGATAAGTGTAAGGGTGTCTTCCAGTGCTGTTATTCTAAGATAGTTTTCAAGCCTCAGAGAAAAGAGATGTTGACATTGCCCATTCGTGTTGGTATTCTCTGCGCATTCCTTGCCTGAAGTCACTCAGCAGCTCTCTCTGATGCTGGCCACGCACCAGCCTTGGCCCCTCGAATGAGAGGCAGCTGGATCTTCATCCTTGAACTTCCCTCCACCCAGTCTTCTCTGGCAGGATGAAGGCTTTCGTGAGAGTCTTGTGAAGGCAGCCCGTTTGAATTACAGGGCAGCCTCTGAGTGATCTCTCTGCTCCCAGCCAGCACATGGCCTGACCACTGATGGCATCTGCAGAGGAAGTGGTGGAATGTGGAAGTTTACATGACGACAGTGCATGCACATCTTCCTGTTTTGAGTCGGAGCCCAGCCAACGGCTGCTGTGCCCTGATACTCCTCGCTGTCCCCCCAGCTTGGTGGCCTGAGGCTTCCTCCGAGTCTCCTGCTTCATGCTTTTCTGAGGGGTGGGCCTCTGAGCAGGGCTTAAGGAATTGGTCAAAACAACAACAACAAAAATGCTTATTGCTTACATCCTCTGCAGCAGGCTATCTACTAGTGATTTCACACTGGATCTCTCCAGGCCTGAGTCTGACCAAAATTCATTAGGAGGTAATTGCTATGGTCTGAGTATTTGCTCCCACTACAAAATTCAAATATAGAATTCCAAGCCCCAAAAGATGGTGATATGAAGAGGTGGGGCCTTTTCACGGTACATAAATCATAAGGGTGGAGCCCTCATGAACCGGATTAGTGACTTATAAAAGAGATCCCCACAGAGATCCCCAGCCCCCTCACCATGTGAAGATACAAGGAAAAGTCTGCAACTTGGAAGGAGCTCTCATCTGGCCCTGATTTTAGACATCCAGGCTCCAGAACTGTGACAAGTAAATACCACCCCGTCTGTGGTATTTTGTTAAAGCATCCTGAACAGACCAAGGCAGGAGTCATCCCAGCCAATGCCCTAATGCAATGTGTCCTCTCCAGTGCACACGCATGCTTGAGGTTGTGAGGAAAATTAAGAATTTAGCTAGGAAAAAGGCAAGGGGTTTTAAAACGTGATTGAAGATCGCTTTAGGCTCTAGGTCTCTGTGCAGATAGAAGAGGTGGTAAGGTGAAGGGGGTGGTAGGTGGCTGGAAACAGGCAGATTGAGTAGATATTGCTCATCGAAGGGCTTTGAAAGTGAAGATGGGAGCCCCAGAGTCCAACAGAGCACCGATGACATAGGTCAGTCTCTGAGTTCTGTTTTCTAGAAACTAGCACCTTGGTCCAGGTGTAGCCACCTTGTCGTGCATCTTATGTGCACCCTTTCAGGGCATTGAAGACAGTAGCACCTGACCCCAGATCTTTCCTTGCCTTTCCTTGGACTCATGAGATCCTAGAGTCCTTGGAAAACTCTTCCTTGTGCTCCCCTTTTATGGGAGTTGGCACAGGACCAAGTTGTGGCAGCCTAAACAAGCTGAGTTTCCTCTTATCATGAAGAGGAAGTGACACTCCAGCTTCTGAAGCTGGAATGGCAGTTCTGTTGTCTCATTGTGTTGGTGGACGGGGTAGGACCAGAGGCATCTCGAGAGCAAGAGGGAGTTTGGATTCAAACGTGGCCCTTCCGCTCAGCCCAAGCTCTCACTCCAAGACCCAGTGTGGCCCTGTAACATGGACCTCCAAACAACAGATTCCAGGCCTTCCTCTTTGCACCTTCACACAAATGTTTGTTCCCTTTGGAACTGTGCTGCCAGCTACTTCCTTATTCACGGTTTTAGCACCGAAAGAATTAGTGAGAGGAACCCATGGGTGAACATGGGAGGGAACATACGTCTGGCAGAACTGCACACACTCATCAATGTAAATTAGGTGTTCAGTGAGTATTTCCATGTTTGCTACTCTGTAATTTAAAAACTATAAACCCCAGGAAACCAAATGTTTTATTGCTTTAATATGTTCTAAATCATGTCTCCACCTCCCAACCTTCTGCAAGCAGGCTCTGAGAGCATGCCCTAGGTGTTGTCCTCACCCTCCATCAATCTGGTCCTCAGGGGGCTGGGGTGGGTGGAGCAGGGCCTGAGTAACAGGATGGAGAAACACTGTCCCCCTACCCCTTTCTCTCTTGTGAATAATAGGTCATGGCCACAGGCAGGGAGAAACCAACCAGGGTGAAGAACAAAGAGAGGAGGAGAAAAAGTAAGAAAACAGAGGGAGAAAATAAAAAATGGAGGAGACACAGATGCTGAACTGTCACTGTGGTAACCATAGGTTTCAAGTCACTGATTAAGCCACGAAGCTTCAAGAGTCAAGTGAATTTATGGGAGCAATGGGATGACATATGAAGCTAGTGCAGATAATACCTGCAGGAAAATCAAGCCAATGGTCTCCAGAGCTGAAAGCATATTTGAGAACATCTACTTATATTTATTTTTATCTGATTACCCAATTTCTGTTCATGTTTTATAATATATACTAGAGGCCCGGTGCACAAAAATTTGTGCACTCGGGGGGTGCGGGGAGGGGGGTCCCCCAGCCCGGCCTGTGCCCTCTCTCAGTCTGGGACCCCTCGGCAGATAACGACCTGCTGGCTTAGGCCTGCTCCCGGGTGGCAGAGGGCAGGCCCAATCCCTAAGTGCAGCCCCTGGTCAGGCTCAGAGCAGGGCCGATTGGGGAGTTGGGGCGCCGCCCCGTCATGCACAGAGCAGGGCGGATCGGGAGGTTGCGATGCCACCCTCACTCACGCTCAGGGTAGGGCCGATTGGGGGGTTGGGCCACC